TTATTGTTCACGGCACCGATTGTTTCAAATTTGCCCTGAATGCATTTAAAGTAAGCAGCTACTATACACCAATCCATAGAATTAACACTGCCAGAATGTGCATAAAACATAAATATGCATGTATGTGGGTGACTTTTACCAATATAAAGAATTTATTATGTAAATCAACTTTATGTGACTGCCGACAACAACCTACTCTTTCAATGTAACACAAATCGCGTTTCTGCTTAAATGGGAAAATCTAATTAATACTTTTTAAATGTCGAATTTATTTATCCTTAAATTGGCCGAAAACAGTTAATTTTATCATTAGATAACTTACTAATTGCAAGATACATATAATTACTAAAGAGATGCTATCTAGAATAAAAAGTACATTAGTCAATCTTTCCTAATTACTCGTACTTCCTAAATTCAACCTGTTATGTTTGAGGTTGAAGAAAATTTTTGGTTTATCGCTAAACATTTTTTGTTTTTATTCGAAAAAATCACCCCCAATAACCCTTAAAATATTAGATCACAACGTCAAATTGTATAAGTACTCGTTGTTGTTGTCTCTTCTTGTCGTAATAACATTATGATACCAACCTAACAGCTTATTTTAATGTTTTTGTAATAATGCTGCACTGAATATTTGTTTTCCCTAAGAAAATTCATTGTCATCATAAGATCATCAGTCTTAAGACTGGTTGGACACGCACGTCCACTCTTTCCTATCCTTTTCTTTTCCGCCGTGCCCACTGTCCATGTTTCGCACCCGTACAATGCCGTGCTCAAAACATACACCTTTAACAATCTTTTTCGAATTTCTAAATTAACCGTTCTCCTATTCCTTCTAATACCTCTTCATTTCTTACCTTCCTTTTCCACGGTAATCTCATCATTCGCCTATAACACCACTTTTCGAACGCTTCTAACCTTTTCTTATAGGCCGCGCCTACCGTCTATGTTTCACACCTGTACAGCAACTCGCTCCAAACGTACACCTTTAACAACCTTTTTCGAATTTCTAAATTAACTGTTCGCGAGCATAGAAGTGACTTCTTTTTATTAAAGGCGACACGACTCTGCGCTATCCTCTGCTTTATATCCCTACTGCTTCTTCCGTCCTGAGTTATCTGACCTCCTAGATACCTAAAACCAGTCTCTTCTTCTAATTTTTCGTCTCCTATCTTTATATTCGNGAGTAACAATTAGTAGGTATATACATTAGAAGGGAACAAAAATAATATTCTAATTAGAAATGACTTACAGTTATAGAAGTTCGAGTTACAGAAGTTGTACTGCAATATGTGTATAATATAATTAAGAATTGCATCAGTGAAAGTCAATCGGTTTTTATTTCCTTCTAGTTCTTTCCTGAAGCTGTTTCTAACTATCTCCTTTAACGTATTAACTGGCACTGAATTATAATGCAGCCATTATTATCGTTATACTTAAAATTATTGGCTGTAAAAATACTATTATTAGCAAAAGCTCCAGGGAAATTATAAAAAATAATTAACTATATTGTACGGTGTCATTTTATTGTCGTTTAATGGCCATTGACGTCATTTTAGAATACCACTTTGTATTGAAAGGCAGATATATCCACAAAATTTGATTAGTTAATAATAGTAAATGTATTTTTTGGAAATGTTAAAGTCAATCGCTTTTTTATGGAATGATTTTTTAACGATATGCGTCAGATACATATAAATACTCAATTAGGTTTTTCGAGGAAGTGACGCTGAAAAGATATAAGAAGAGGAAAATGCTATGAAATTATATAATATCTGTAGAACATTTGCTAGTAATTGTGAGATTCAATAATGTTTGGCTTGGGCTATCAACTTAACAAATAGTCACAGTAATAATACATTGAACGCTGCAGAAGTACGTTTTTCTAAGGCATGCTGATGTGATCTAACGTGTTCGAAATCACGAACCACATTTGCGACAAATTAATTGACGAAGAACTTTATAAAGGAACCATCAAGTCATTGGTTTGCAAGAGCACACTGGCGTTTGTAATCATTTCGTGGTCACCAGAAAACGTGTTAAGTGAGACATGCTGATTTGATTAAATGTTATTTTAATGCGGTTTTACGGGCGGCTTTTATGTAAGCACCTTGAGCATGGTGTCACGCAAGAGGTAGCACCTCTTGTACGTAAGAGTGGCGCATTAGAAACAATTACTTAATTAAAGCCGTAAAATAATGATTTATTTTTGACACAGTATAATTCGCTGTACACTCCTTAGCTTAGATTATCACTTTTTGAGGAAATACATACAGTAAAACTTTTAATAGCGGCCAGTGAAAAGTGGGCCTTATTTAGGGAAGAACTAAAATTTACTTCAAATTATTTACATTTGTAAATCTTTGGATCATACGCATTTGACTTTNTCGTACCTGTACAGGGTGATACCGTGGATAGAAAAGGTTAGAAATGAAGAGGTATTAGAAAGAATAGGAGAACAGAGGACTTTATGGAAGTCAATAAAAAATAGGCGAGATAGGTTAGGAGGAAGGCATAGGACACCTTCTCAGGCATGAAGGTCTAGTCAGAGACATATTAGAGGCAGAAATGGAAGTTAGGAGGGGTAGAGGTAGACCTAGATTAACGTAGTTTACTGTTCGCAGATAGTTAAGGATATGGGTTGTTCTAGTTTTAGGGAAATGCGAAGATTAGCTAAGGATAGGAAAGAGTGGAGATGCGTGTCCAACCAGTCTTAGGACTGACGACCTTATGACGATGATGATGATATGCATATTATTTGACGAAAACGTAATTACCCTATGTACTGATTAATATTACAATTTTGAGGGGTAACTGTTTGAGAGGGAATGTTAACACTATAATTTCTGACAACAGGTCTGTCAAAAGTAGTTTATTTCATATGCAACGTATGTTTCGTCCTGTAAAACTAGGAAAATAAAATTATAAGAAAAGTCCCATTACATGACCGCATTATATTAAAAATTCATCAATCTTCTTTTAAGTCCTTATTACCTAATACTAATAGGTACAACACTTCTTGTCAAATCCGAATTTCTGTGCCTGTACTTCGGTGAAGTTACTTCAATAATTATAATTTATTTTTAAATATTTTAATTGGTCACGGTTCACATTAATTTATTACTCTTGTTTGTTTACTTTTTACTTTCTAATTCTGTTCGTCTTTGGCATGATGAACATAAATAAAATTGATCATGACCTTACCTTAATTAGTCTCCAAATGAATTAAATAACAAATTAGTCAATATCGAAGGGGCCTGGGTATTAAAAGTTTAGTGTTTTTATTACTTGCCCATTTACAATCTTCCAAAGTTAAATTATAGAACGAAGGAAAAGCCTCAGGTGCAAAACGGATAAAATTTGATGCAAAATATTTACGCTACTACCTGTTGCTTTTTAATCAAATCATTGGTGAATGTTCGTCTCTTTATTTCTTATTTTAAGAATTATTTTTATATTGGTAAATAAATAGTAAATTGTTGTTCTTGGAAAGTATTTTCCTAATTAATGAATGAGATTGCATTAGATTAACGAACTTTAAGAAATTAGTTTTCATTTTCAATTGAGCCGAAACACTTGACCTCTTATCAGTACTACGCTACGTTTTTCGCATTAATTCTTAGATTTTCCCCTCGGAGTTTGGGACGTTTTTCGTAGCCATTGTTAGTTTTTCCCCTAGATGGCGTTAAAATTGACCAAACCTTTTCTCCAATTTTAAGCATATCATTTCGATATAGGTATTTTTTCAACTTCTATTCGCAACCTCTATTATTTCAAATGCTAGATTCTTTCATTTTCTTATTTAGTATGTCAGAGCCTACGGGAAATTAACCAGTAAACCTCTTGGCGGAAAAATTATCCTATGGAATCAGAATAAGTGCATTTTCCTGTAGTTTAAGTTAAATAAAAAATACGAATAATTTTCCAGTGGTTACAACTTTATACATATTATGTGGTGTTGTTTATTATTTTTCAGCATCCTTGCAACAACCATCTGGTCGCACTTGGCCTTCCAATACCTCGTGTAGTTCATTATACGTATTATGTTAAAGACGTTCGAAAATCTTCCTTTAATGCTACCATATAATATTATAATTTCAATGTCGTTACAAAATTCTTGAAGCATGGCATTATTGTCAAAGTTATTTCAAATAGCACTTAATGAGCTACCAATAGTAAGAAAAACTTTTAGGTACTGTTATTATAAAAAATTATCCGAATACAATTTTAATTTTGATTGACACTTCTTAAAAGATATACGCAGAAGAATTGTAGAATAATGTATCATTAAAATCAATTTTGCAATAAATAATTTTATGTAGGTAGGTAGGTATTTATTTTTTAATAAATTAATTAAGCTGCATCAGATTATAAATAATTAAAACCTACTTTATGTCAGCAAAATTGTTCGATACTCATTCGTTAATTCGTTCCACTCAAAATTCAGTTTCTTTTAATGCCAGCTTTTTTCAAATAATAATTACTGTCAGAATCAAATAAATTTAAAGATAAAAAGTTTACATAAATTAGTCAAGTTTTGTAATGTGCAGGTTCATCGAGGACACTCCACCCTACGTCTATGCGTTCTCCATTTTCAACGAATAGCACTGCTAATTAATTTTAGTTGTGTCGCTTTATTCTGCACTAATAATTAGCTCAATACCAGCCCCTACAAGGCTATTGTGCAAAACAAAAATGTTAAACAATTTTTTAGGAAAAGTCCAGCAACACATACGGATTACAACTGTAATTTGAAAGCAAAAACACCTGAATAAGTATTATAAAAGCCTATTACTGAATATAATGCGTATTGTTGCAAGTTGCAAACCTTCAAAAATGAAAAGAATAAGACACGGCGATCTATTCAAATAAAAACGAATTTTATACTTATATTATAATTAACTATTACGTGTAGTTAATTTTGCAATTCGAATTTGTAAAAAATGCATTGTGTAGGTACTTGTACCTCTTTTTTATAAAAGCAGATTTAATTTACTAACCATCTTCGAAATTTTCTATTTCCTGATTCTGAATGGCATCAAAGGTTGACTGGCTGTCTTCTTCGAGCGCAAAGAGATTTTCCAAGGCCGAAACGCTGCTTTGAGTCTGGCTTTGCACCTTGGTGATGAAACATGCGCATCGATACAACAGGTACCACAAGTCCGTCTGGCTGATAAGCCAAGCCAATGCGTGTTTACCAGCACTAAGGCCAGCGTGCTCCGTTCCTATCATAATAACACCGGACACTTATAATTACACCTGAAGGAATTAACACGTCTTTACGCGTTTCTCATGCGGTTAAACACACTCACCGAATGCATTACAGTCTTTGGAATAGGTAGCTACCGTCATCTCACTTCTTACCCACCCATGCAATTTCACTAACGATCCAAAAAAATTGACACACTATGTTCGTTTATGTGATCTGTAATGAAACAGCTAGGGGCTTAATGCTTTTTTTAAATTTGACAGATATGATCGTAAATTACTTTGTCACATAATTCCGGTGACAATGAAGTTCATAATTTCGAAGCGCAAATGCATTTGATTCGTTCTCCTTCACCTACAAAAGAAATACGAAGCAATTAATCCGATGATTTAACACAAGACACATTTACTGTAGTTTTCACCTAACAAAGCGTGATTTGCAAATTTTTTATTGCTCAAAAAGCTGTTGCTATAGTTTGTGACGAAATCCTTGCAAGCAATTCGCATAAATCGAATAAATTACGATCGATTAAAAGATTGCTGATACAATAATACTTCTTTTTTTATAGAAGCGTGCCTATGTTCTTGGTGAAGTTGCGGTAAGAATTCTCTAAATTGAATATCATCATGAGCTAGCAATATTTCTAAAAATATTTTTTAATACTTTTCAACTATCATCGTGTGTTTATATTTTTATAATTTACTACATCTGATAATCAATAACAAACCACACTTCATTAATTCATTATACAGACTGTGATACCATTTATATAGGACAAACTGTCACATCCTTTCAAATTAAATTTAAAGAACACAAAAAAAAGTCCATTATTGAATGTAAAAATGTAATTAATGTAAATTGAATCGCACCGAAAGGGTCTACAATAATTTGTTTTAATTAAAACAATATTAATTGTCGAGATTATTAATAATTACTAAATGCTTTCTAATAGAATTATTAATTATTGAAAAAGAATCCATGGTAGTAAGTATAGCAGTTGTTCAAAGACTACACTTGTGAAAATGCGTTCATCAAACAGGAAATATAATGCAGAAGGTTAAGCCATAAACGACAAGATACGAAAATGGAACGTGTGCAAATAGAAGTACAATATCCGTGAGAAATAAAATACTTAATAAAAAAATAAATCAACCATTACATACTTGAGCAAANAATGAAAGAGAAAGAGAGTTTTAATTATGTTTTTAGTGAATTCTTTTGTTACGCACAATGTTTATTCATAAATCTTATTAACACTTTACAATGAAAATGCCTTACTTTTGCGTGTGGATTACATATCAAGGCATTAATAACCAGCCAGATATGTATTTAGGCAATTTGTCGGAGATTGGATACGTTCTTTTTTCTCAAGAAATAGGCATTTCCTTGTTTCTTATGTTGCACCAGCAAATGCTTGCGTTCTTCGCTTAAACTATTACTTTTACATTTACTTTGACACTGTTACGCTTTCAACACACCAGAGCAAAAATAAATTTTACAATCAAACGATTAAAGACTTGAGTCTTACTATCCGTAAGTTGACGGTTAACAGCCGCCCGTCAGATGCTCGTCAGGTTTATGTGGTATTCTCATTGTACAGCGACCGTCAGTTTTTCGGCAATTGTTTAGAAGGTTAACAGATTTTCGCAGCAATGTTTACAAAAAAAATATTCGCTTATTAATTTAGCAGTTACTACTCTTTTATTGGAAGAAGAAGATGAGGAGATGGAAAAGTAGAGGAAAACAAGAAAAGTGGGAATATAAAATATTTTTCCATATTTTTTTACTTGCATTACTGTAACTATATATATTTTGTTTTAAATAGTATAAACACTCATACGTTTGTACTTCATCATCATCATCATCATAAGGTCATCAGACCTAAGACTGGTTGGACACGTACCACCACTCTTTCCTATCCTGAGCTAAACTTCGCATTTCCCTGTTATTGTTATTGTTGTCTCTATTGAAACAATTTCTGACACCTGTGTAATCCAATCTTACGATTACCAAAGCGACCACCACGACTGATCAAGGTCAGGGGTCATACTTTGTACGCGTCATACCGAATAAACTAGAACTGCGCGTGGATTTATGGACTGGATTAATTCAAAAACAAACTTTTAACGAATTCTTACGATTTTCTCGACTTTTCTTTTTGACGATCAACCTGTTTTCCAACGGAAAATTAACGAATCCTGAAGGTGATCAACAGGCGGCGCACACATGTCAAACAGTATACCTTGATATATTTATGAACCCACAGCATGCTTTTCTAGAAATAATAAATGGAACAACTTAAAAAAAGTAGCCTAAATCACCCCCTCGCAATCATCTTTTCATATCCGTAACGAAGTTTAAACATATGGGATATTCTATTACGTGTTAAATGTATCATATTTTAAAAAATTAATACAGCGTGGTATAAAATAAAAAATATTCTTACAGCCACCTTTAAAGCCCCTGATTTGGATGCTTCGTAAATTGAAACCCTAATTCTGCTTAAATAGAAGTGATTCTCGAAAACAAAAACAGAGTAAACTCTATATAACGACACTTAAGGGACTGAACTTTTTTCGGCGTTATAAAGAGTGGTCGTTAAATGGAGAGAAATAAAAGATATTATTTTACTACTCTATAATAATATGCATTTACCAATATAGTACACATTTTGCACACGAACATTATTATTCATACATTGCGTATAGCCTGTTATCTTCGTCTGATGTTTTTTGCTGCTCCAATATTTTAATTGTATTTTGTTACGTATCTTACT